ACTACAAAGAGGTCGTCACTGACAATGCTAAGTAATATTTATTTAATATTAAGAAAATATCAGCTACATGTACAATCTGTGTATATCACTGTCAAACAATTAAGCTCCCAAAATACATTGCAATATTTGGTACAATACAGATTCCTGTATCACGATATATTGCATTTCTATCCCAAAAGACATACCTCATAACAGAGGGCCCATGTTATCAAAGTATTCCCTTAATACAATCCATTTAGCAATGATGCTACTTGTCTGTATACTTAGGAGACATGACAATAATTGTATCTTATATAACAACAACATAATATTAACTTACAACACATTCTTTCTGTACTTGACAAATCTATTGGCACAGGAAGCAAGCTCCACAAGCTCAAGTCAAATTACTGTAAGAGCAAATATATAGTTCCAAGAAACTGGAAATCTGTTTTGTTACCAAAAAACATATCTTACTTCGTGGTTTAGGTGTTGGAGCTGGGGTTGTCGTGGTTGTGGTGGTAGTAGTAGTGGTTGTAGTAGTAGTTGTTGGAGGGGGAGTGGTAACTGCAATTAAAAACATTATTATTGACAAAAAATAATGTAAACAAAGGCGTTATCTGAAACTGACATGGTATATTATCTCTGTATTGATCACTTCTAGTTGTCACACAATGACGATTTTCTGAACAACTTTGCAATTTCAGTTAGTGAGAATAAGATGAAACGTTTGTCTACTGGTAACATAAACATATACTGACACATATAATGCATGCCTCAAAGGATACAAAGAATACACTGATTTCTTACAAATATTAAATCGTTTTTGTCACTTTTCTCTCAGTAAAGTTCATGATGTGCCAATCTTTCTTGTAGTCTATATCCACATCATCTTATTTTTTGTTTTATCTGAGTTTAATATACAACAAATTCCATGGGAACTGAGTACAGTAGATTTAGAATAGCATCATAGTCTGATTGATATGTGGACAAATTCTCACAAAGCACTTACTAGGACATATGGAGCCAAAGACTTTCTGCCTCATATCACTCAGTTCACTGAACTCCTGAACGGTGAACCTGTAGTCATCAAGAGGCTGGCTAGCAATGCCATCAATTTCCTTAGTATCTGTTAGACCAATACCGATGACATAGATATTGATGTTCTGATCCCTGGCTTTAACTGCCTCAGGAATTGTTCTTCTGGAATTGATGTTGGACACACCATCAGTGATAAGAATACAGACATTTTCCACATCCGGTCGGTCACCTGTTGCTGGTGTGTACATCTGAGTCCTCATTGTGTTTAGTCCACTATAGGTGTTGGTACTTCCGTACATATAGGGTATTCTGTCAATGGCTTTGTAGACTTCTCTCTTCTGACCTATATATTCACTCATCTGGAACTGGATGGCAACTTTGGTACTGTAGATGACAATACCAACTCGGACATTGTCATCATCAATGTTAGCAGGGGCAAGGAAGAATTTCAAAAAGTCCTGCATGAGTCTGAAGTTGGGTTCAGTGACACTGGTGGAGGTATCCAGGATGAGCACAAGGTCCATCTTGGCTGTAGAACAGTCTAGAGATAGAAAAGCTGAACTGTTAATATATCATTATAACAATCCATAGAAAGGTGCTACTATGGCAAGTGATTACCCGTTTTCTTCTCTCCACATAACTGCTGCTATATACTGGAATAATGAAATAATGACAGAAACAAAACGTCATTTTTTCAGCTATCTATATGTGGTTAATATGGATACATTAATGACCAGAAACAACAGATCTGAACCCACCTTTTGGTTTGGCTGGAACTGTTGGTGGGGGTGTTGGTGGAAGCACTAGAAATATACAAACACACACTCAACCAACTGAGTACACCTACATACCATAGGAAACAAATATCTATGTAAAAGATTTAAAAACATTACTTGATTATTAGGATAAAAATTGTTTATTAACTTACCATATTTTAAGGCATTCCCTGTGTATGGTATTAAATCTTCAACAATGTTTCAACATTAGATGTTTAATACAACATTTTAAATTATAGAGTGAATCACCTGGACAAATTGATCCAAAGACCTTCTCCCTCATAGAAGACAGCTCACTGAACTCCTGGACAGTGAAACGGTTTTCCTCAACAGGTCGTGAGGCAATGCCATCAATTTCCCTTGTATCTTGAAGTCCAATACCAATCACATAGATGTGGATGTTCTGGTCTCGTGCTTTGGCAGCTTCAGGGATTGTCCTCCTGGCATTGATATTGGACACACCATCAGTGATAAGAATGGCCACATTGTCAACATCAGGTCGGTCACCTGTTGCAGGGGTGAACATCTGAGTCCTCATTACATTTATTCCACCATAGGTGTTGGTACTTCCGTACATATAAGGTATATTGTCAATGGCCTTATAAAGTGCTCTTTTCTGACCTATATATTCATTCATCTGGAACTGGATGGCAACTTTGGTACTGTAGATGACGATACCAACTCGAACATTGTCATCATCAATGTTAGCAGGGGCAAGGAAGAATTTCAAAAAGTCCTGCATGAGTCTGAAGTTAGGTTCTGTGACACTGGTGGAAGTATCCAAGATCAGGACAAGGTCCATTCTGGCGCTGTCACAACCTAAAATCACACAATTGTCAGCAGGTAGAGAAAAATCAGGAGTAAAAAGACAACAGGAAGAAGGGATGTTAAACAAAAATACCAGAATTTAAACAACAAGAGTAAATATATATGTAGATGAACATAGAGTTAGTGCAATTCAACTGATCTTGTTATAACTTTTTATCGTCCAGAGACACACCAAACTAGATACTTTAAGATGATGAACAAACATGCAACATGTAGAATTTTGACATAGAGTAAGGGTACTGGTTGAAACATTATCTACAACAACATATCAACCTTTTGACTTTTTGTGTATGTATATGTCAAACTGTATGAATGAAGACATAATACATTAACATTTTCATTACAAATAGAAGACAAATACAGAAGAATTTGAAACTAACAAGTATCCATTTGTGAGTTATGTAATAAAAACACATGAATGATAGCAAAGGGTTGATTGTTAAGTTCTAAGTCTCTTATGGAACTTCATTATGAGTAACATTTATCTCTAAGACATCTCGTACTCTCCACAACACAACACTATAGATTTCACAACAAATTCCTCCCAGACTCAGAACATATCAATCAACCCTTATAATTGATACTGCTAGAAAATCTACTTTCTTGATGACTCACCTGTAGCTGATAGTTGACATGGGAATTCTGTTCATCCGCATGATCACAACACCTCAATAAACACTACTAATAATGGCTGATATCATAACTTATCCTATCAGTAACTGTGCTTTGATCCTATCAACCAGACAAGTTGTACACAAAACAAGATATATATTTGAATTAAGACACAACAGTTTACACTGGTTAGAATACAGTGAGTATATATTTTGAGACACAATCAAGTTTATGATGTTCTGACAAACACTGGTTTAATACTGACAGACAGTATGTGAAGAATAACTGAAATAGAAGAAGTGCAAAAGTGAGATATATATAAGAAATACAGTTGGTGCAATGTTACAGCCCTGTCAACAAAATGTTTCTGGGGATGAAGAAAGAGGAATTGTTGAACACACTGAAAGCAAGTTTGACATAGGCACATGAGACAAGTTAGGAAACAAAAGGATAGCATTTCATACTGTCCGTAAAGGGACAATTTAGGAAAACAACTTTAAGTTAAGGTGCATGAGACAAGTTAGGAAACAAAAAGAAAACAACTTAAGATTAAGGTGCAAGAGATAATCTTGGAAGGAAAGCAATAATACCATAAGTATATATAAGGGTATTTAGGTAATAAAAGGGCATCAAAGGAAATAAAAGGGGGTTAAATTAGGGAATTCATCAGAATTACAATGGAATCATTAATAAAAACATAGAGCTACTTTGAGGTTCTAAAACCTGCCACAAGTGATCACTGTGAGTATGCAAGCAAAACATACAAGGTTGATTGGAACAAACAGTAAACAGTAATTTTGTTAAAGATACAAGATACAAGATATCAGGCCTATCTTTTAGAGGACAGTCCTCTGTATTATAACCAAATGTAGCTATACAGAGGATACACAATTAGTGTTCTACAGCTTATGTTTTTGCCTGAGTAAAGTGTCTTCTTCAAGATTTTCCTGCAAAATAACAGACAGTTTCCTTTCCTATCTCTCTCTCGAAATTTGTTTCTTAATGTAAGCAATTAGTTATGCTACTGATGGTATATCACATCTTTTTTAGCTGTAACTAAGGTGCCTCACACTACAATCTGCAAATATATATTCAGTCATAGAAATATCTTCTTTGAACATGGACAAATTCAGAGTGTTCCTCAAATACAAAGTGAAAATGATAAAACATACACTAACTCTTGAACAAGTTATAGTTGAAGTTTAAATTAATAACTTTCAAGATTTCATCTGGAGTGCAACATATTTCCACATAAGATAAGACAGTAACATTTACTCATAGGCCATGATTAAACATCAACAGTAAGACAAATACATCAGACAAAACAAATATTGGAGAAACATCAGTCACACAGCCACACTGGCACAAGTACAATTCCATACAACTAAACAGCCACCAACCGTGACAGCGTTTAGACAGTGGTAGTAGTCGCTGTCAGACTGACAGGATGACACTGGTGACATCAACACATGAACACACAGCTAAAACACAGTTACATGATTAACATATAAACAGTTAACAAATACATATACAGCATTCCTTCCAACAAGTTACATATATAGATATATAAAAGTTGAACATTTGTTAATATTAATGACGTTTAGACAACATCTTCAGTTTGATATGACAGTTGATAATATAGTGTCACAAGGTACCACTCATAAATAAGTTTTATCAACTTAACAGTTAACAGTTGAAAACTTTTGAAAATGAGTTATAATTTTACTGAAATGTTACGAAACATTACACCAAATGGTTACTTACTTGGACGCTTCTTGGGGGGAGGGGTTGGAACTGCAATAAAGACCATTTACAACTTGAAGCATGTACAATTAAAATAAACATACACAATTCTAAAGACGTAGAGGCGGTGGGGTAGCCTTGCGATTAAAGTGTTCACTTGTCATGCCAAAGGCCTGGGCTGGATTCTTCACTTGGGTCCAATGTTTAAAGCCCATTTCTGGTGTCCCCCGCCATATTGCTGAACGCAGCATAAAACCCAACTCACTCACTCTAAAGAAGTAACTTGACATATTAACTCATTAAGGCCGAGAGACGCACATATGCGACAAATTAATTAGCTTTTCACAGCGAGAGCCGCACAAGTGCAACAACTGAAAGCACCTCTTATTCAGCGAGAGCCGCACATGGGCGACAACAGAAAGCACCCCTTATTCAGCGAGAGACGCACATGTGTGTCGTACTTTTAAAAATCGCACTGTACCTATTATTTCAACCAATTTAGTAGTACTGAGCATAGATTAGCTTTTCGTACGCGAGTTGCTTCCTTTACCATTAATCAGAAGAAGTATTAAAAGTGTTTTGATACCAATTGCTAATCATTATCATAGGCTTATACAGCCTTTGGCAAATGAACACATGTCGGCGAGAAAGGGGATTATGAGATGTTTTTACAGTGGAAAGGGTCTGGTACTATTTATTGGGAGTGGATACTAAAATGCTTCTTATGCACATTGATTGAATTAGATGTAATGGTTTAGAGGTTACTGAAGATTATATTTTCTTCAACTACCTAATAAATAGGAACAATATACGAAATTTTAAGGACATACAAAGGATTCAAACACAATAGAATAGTTTGAATTTACTTTCTAGGTATTATTACGTTGTCATGTTTCATATAATGAATCGTAAACACAAATAATGATACATCCAAGCTCGAATAGATTAGACATAAGTTACTAATTTAAAGCTTACTGAATTGTAACTATTTTTCATAATCTAAAGTTGATAATGTTACCTAATCGAATATAAAGTGATAACTCGCGCCTTTGCATCGAAAATATATACATGTCAGTGTAATTACAACAATGAAATCTTTTACTACGTTTGTTACAAAACACAGTAAGTTGGTAATTCAAAAACTTCTTACACATAGACAGAAATAATATCATAAGTTATTACATGTAAACCATACAAACGTATTTCAAGCATTATTGTTCAAGCTATTGAAAGTTTCATGTTGATTTGAATTGTCAGTTTTCTATGCAATTTACATGAGCATTGTGTAAAAACTTTTGTATTTGATCTCTGTAATTATCTGATCCGGTGTAATTATCACGTGTATCAATGAACTCAGTCTCTATTGATCCATCGTCAATAAAAGCTGGATAGTATATCAGTTACGGTATCGATACACATGCGTATAATCATTCAATCAGATTACAGTAATGAGATAATTGAACACCTCTTTCGACCTTGAAATAACAGCCTCCGGTAGAATGCATATGTAGTTACGCCCTTGTTGAAAGGTTTGTCCCGTGACAAGTGTAAAATAAACAGATGCGCTGTTATATCATTGGACAACCTGCTTTATGGAGTCACGCCCCTCTCTGTAATGTTTATGCATACATGCACATCTGTAATCTTATGAACCTCGTTTGCATTCAGTATGAATATAGGCACGCCCATCTTCATAAATATTTGGGGGGATTAAACTGCAAGTTTATACATTATAATAATTCAGTATCGTGTCACTTTTTGAATTCTATAATACGTGTACTTTAATTTGGATATTCATTCGTATCAAGGTGAAGATTATATTTACATGTACAGCAAACCATAATGTTTTATGTACTAGTTGTGTGCGTAAAATGCATATGAAAATAAATACTATCTCTACTCAATGGTTGGATTTCAATCACTTTGTTTTACTTATCGAAAAACACTAAAATGTGTTCTCGATCTCTGAGATCTATCTACTCCTATTTGTCTTATGTGTATATTTCATAGATCGTTACGATTATGTATGTTTACAATACACAAACTGTTCATAATAGCTTGAGTTGATAACTCCGAAACCCATCATATCGACTGGTCAACGATATAGTCAATAATCAATCTCTATCCAAGCTGTTGAGTTACCAAACGTGCTCTTCAGAAATTTCACCCACGCCACATCACCTGACCCTTCCTCTGTGACAGGTATCTCATGATACTATTGGTCACAGATAACAAATGATCAGCCACTATATTGAACAGTTCAGATACCGAACGTTCTATTCGGTAAATTTGATGACGCCCTATCACGTGACTCTTTGTTTTATGTCTATACAAGGAATATGTATTATACATTTTTTATATGTATGTTTGTATGATAACATATGTTTTTTGCATTAAATCTAGATGAAACAAAGTGCCAAGCTATGAATGTGCTCTATGTTAGTCACAGACTAGCATAATAGTACTTTCCTTAATATATTCAGTATACACTAGAAATGTATCGGCAAAAACGCTAATATTGTAGAAGGTTATAAAGCATGTAGGTAAATTCTCCTTTACAGTCTGTCATTGTCATAGATGCTTTGTAAAATTGAACCTCACACAATGATATAAGCGAAAGAATTTGTTTATGTATGTCTCATCTCTTACATACGAAGAATACATACATATGTTGATAAAACATAAATGTACAAGCCGCCAAAGGTCTACAAGAGAAACTTGCAATAAAATAACATAAAGTGTTGCAAAACATTATATGTATTATATGTACCTGCTTTCCTTTAACTAACATCTTTACGACACAATTAAACAATCAGAGCTTGATTGTACGACTAGACAGTTTCCTGTCATCCCCGAAATCTGCCAGGGAAATCAGGTGTGAATAGCACTATTTAGCTTCGCAACAACGAGCGGGCAATCAGCGAGGGGTTCCAGGTGTTGAGTAGTTAATTGTCTCTCGGGTTTAATGAGTTAAAGAAATAATCCATTTATGAAATTTCATTTTGCTTAATATCATGCATTTGGGTTGTCAAATATGGGATAATATATCATTTTATACTGTTAAAAAGATAATGATGATAAATGGGAAAATCATACTTGGACACCCCTTCCTTAAAGAGTTGAAGACTTGATCTCTCATTGTCTTCAGCTCACTGAACTCCTGAACAGTGAATCTGTTCTCTTCAATTGGTGGAGAGGCAATTCCATCAATTTCCTTGGTGTCTGTTAGACCAATACCAATAACATACATATGGATGTTGTCATCTCTGGCTTTCACTGCCTCTGGGATTGTCCTTCTGGCATTGATATTAGACACACCATCAGTGATTAGGATACAGTAATTTTTCACATCAGGTCTGTCTCCTACTCCTGGCAAGAACATTTGGGTCCTCATAGTGTTCAGTCCACCATAAGTATTGGTACTTCCGTACATATAGGGTATACTGTCAATGGCCTTGTAAAGCTCGCCTTTCCGACCTATGTACTCATTCATCTGGAACTGGATGGACACCTTGGTGCTGTAGATGACCACACCAACCCTGACCTTATCGTCGTCAATGTTGGCAGGGGCAAGGAAGAATTTCAAGAAATCCAGCATGAGTTTGAAGTTCTTTTCTGTTACACTGGTTGATGTATCCAGTACAAGGACAAGGTCCATCACTGTATCTGTACAATCTGTAACAAGATGAATACATTTTTAGTGTATTAAAGAGTGCATGAGTATATGTCAGAGATAGTTTAAAATTTCTTTCAGAAAGACTCTTACTCATCACTGAGACTCTTCAGGCTATACATAACCGATAACGTTTATTGTAAACCAATAGTAGTGTTTTCCGCAATCTGAGTGGTTATTACCCTTGTTCGACATACCTGAAAATGATGGCCTAATAACCACACATTAATATGTTAACACAAATACTGTACTACTTTTGCTGCATGAATTTGCATAATGGAGGAGATTACCTCCTCAATTTCTTTCTCCTTCGAGAAAAAAACCCGCTGTCGGTTTTAAACTAAATTTGCAGGGTGTTGAATTACGATGAATCCCGGAAATTTCACAAACGTAACTATTTATCTTCTAAGTGATATCTGATATCACAACATAAAAGAACAATAATGTCACATAACATCATAAAAGAAAACAATCATGATGCCTCATATTCTAGAATTAAACATAGCTGAAACAGGTCATTGAACCCAGTTTCCACATTTTCTAACACCTAATTGCAACTTTAGACAAACTCTGAAATATCACATTGTAAATGAAACTGTGTGTTTGATGCTTCCAACAGTATGTTGTTTACAGTATGAAGCAATGGATTTTTCAGAGAACTAAAGAAAATGGTCAAAAGTAAAGGTCAAATGAAGGTGAGAATAGAAATATTGCACATAAGAACATTGACCATGTAGTGCTGAGGTCCACTGAGAACTACACCTGTAATAAGTACCGTTACAAAAGTTCAGCTTTCAGTATAGACAAAGGTAAAATTAGGGTAAACATTCAAAATATATTGCAAAAAGCAGAACTGTACATGTACCACATTTTGAACAAAAATGGCTATGTAATGACCAGATAGTGTTTCAATATGGCTGCTGTGGTGGCCATTTGGACCTGTTGAACATATTATGGTAACATCATTGGTGGGAACAAGTTCATGAAGTTACTGCTTATAGGTGCAAAGGTAAATAAAGGTCAAGATTTAAAATATCACAATATGGAGTCATTTACCAACTACACATAAACAAAAAATGATACATTTAGCAACAAAATGGCTGAAAAGCTTGTACAGTTGAGGATCAGTATCTGAACTATCACATTAAAGTCAATGTTAAGTATTACCAAATGTCATGAAATTAAGAATGAAAATACAGATATTTGTTCAATATGTCTGCCAAGGAGGCCATATGTCTTTTTCAATAAAGACACCTTGAAAAAAATGTCTATAACACAAGGTAAGCATCTCACCCACCATGTTATAGACCTCTGGCCCTTTTAGTTTTCAAGAACAGGACTCGGTTTATTTCTTGTGTTTAAAAGATATACCTGAAGTTCATACTGAAGTTTTTAATTTGGGTGTCTAGATCAAACTTGGGCCCTGTTATAGTAACAATATCTAACTGAATTCATTTAACCATTTCAGAGAGGAAGTCAGAGAGTGTATGGTTTTTGGTGACTTACAACTTGACATTATCTCATATTCATTAAAGGTCCAGGTGATGTAAAACTGAAAAGTATAGGTTAATCATATCTTAAGTCAATGTACATTATTATCTGATCAAATTGTCCCTAAAATTATCACACTTAGAGCTAATTTGCTGAAATGTTCATACCTTTCCTTTCACCTCCTGGGCGTGGAATCATTACTGCTGAAAAGACAACTCATACAATAACATCACAAATTAAAGACCTATGTTGATGCATCTGGAGCAGCCTGATCAAAGCCAAGCAGGATAATGCAGAGCAGGCAGAAGAGCATAAGCAGTGCTTGCATGTGGGGGTATTTATCAGGTTTTTAAATTGGGACAAATATTTTAAAGAAAAGAATTTCAAAATTTGTTAGTGCTATCTGCACAGAGGAAGTTCAAACATACTTAGTTTTGAATCATCATCAAATGGTATTTTCTATTCATAAAGCAAGTCTGTTAGTCAAAAGATGTTAGTATCAAGATTGAAACATGGCAACTGATTACCATTGGTAGGAACTCAATAGTTCAATACCAGTGATATGATCATGTCAGTACAAGTGTTATGTCAAAGTTAGATGTCGCAGCTGATGAAGGAGGAGCTGAAGGTGTATATCAAGATGTACATAGGCTTCTTCTGAAGGATCTGCAAGAACAAAACCAAATGTAAGAACAGGTTGAAAGCATTGCAGAAATATACACAGCACAGATGTCAGGCACTTGTAGCTATCTCCTGTTGGCAAGGAGATAGCAACATGAACAACATGACATTATACAGTTTCCCCATGCCGAGTATATGACTACGATGCTCACAAATAAAGTGCAATAATGTTTGAACATTCAGAATATCACCCTGAAAGAGAAATTCATATTGAAAAATGTGTGTACATAGGAATTGTGTGGTTTGGATTTGGGTTTTGTTGTTGAAAACTTACCCTAGCTGAAATAGAGGATGGTGTGACATTTAGGATGATGATGTGGTGAAATTGAATGTGAGTGAGAAAAGACAGTACCCGCCACCATAGTGACACAGTGTTATGGCCCACAGTCTTCACAAAATCTGACACATAGGACAAATACAAGATCCCTTTTAGGATACAAACACAACACTCAAGCAAACCTGTGCAGAAGGAACTAAACACTCGCTGCTGCAGATTATTAAGTTGAGAGAAATCCTCCACAATGAAGCGATGCTCTTCCAAAGGTGGGCTTGCCATTCCATTGAGTTCTTTGGTATCTGCCAGACCGATTCCAATAGCAAACACTTCAATTCCTTCTGATTGTGCATCCATAGCTTCAGCGACAGTCCTCCTGGCATTGATATTGGACACACCATCCGTGACAATGATGACAATGTTGGGGACTCCTTGTCTGTCACCACCCTGTCTAGTGAAGATCTCAGTCCTCACAGACTTGATTCCATCAGCAGTGTTAGTACTACCATATCTGTAGGGAATGTTGTCTATGGCTGTAAGAACCTCTGCCTTAGTGCTGTAGTCACGCAGGCGGAACTCCACGTGGACTGAAGTGCTGTACAACACTACACCCACCCTAACATTGCCATTGTCAATGTCAGCTTGGGACAGGAAGTTCTTGACAAAGTTCAGAACCAACACAAAGTTTGGTTCAGTGACACTTGTAGATGCATCAAGGAGGAATGCCAGATCCAGCCGAGTGCTGCTACACTCTGAAAGAAGAAATTGTTTATCAATCTAAATTTGACAACTGTTTGAAACATGTACAGGTATAACTTTGTCAAACAATCCCCTAGACATCCTTTGTTTTGGCCCCCTCTCTCACCCTCAACCATCTAGATAGAGATGTTAATGTCTTTAAGGGGCATTTTAGAAGTTGGGAAGTACAATATAGACATGAGTGAGTGAGTGAGTATGGTTTCTACGCCGTTTTTAGCAATATTCCAGCAATATCACGGCGGGGGACACCAGAAATGGGCTTCACACATTGTACCCATGTGACAATATAGACAACCTTTATGGATACACAACTTCCTTATTTCGTGAGTGCGATGTTTCAATACAGATTCTTGTACTGTTGTCAAGCAGGAATGTCATTTCGTCGCACTCATGGAATACAGAAGTTATTATAGCGATGTTATAAAGTTTGTCTGTTAACATGTCTGTAGAAATTTTAATGTTTAAATGTCTTTTGGTTATTCATTCACTGAAATCTGTCCTGGTAGAATGTTGTTTGTTGCTTAGTGATATTCACAATTTAAGTTCTCTGTTCTCATTATCAAGCATGAAAATAGATTTATCCACTGGCAAAATTCCAGCAAATGTCAAATATGTCTGTTAATGAAAATGGATGTCTATATAACAGACTGCCACATGTTCAGTAAAAGATTCTGTCTGCAGTTAGAGACAGATAGACATACCCTTGGATATTGCTGTTGGAGGTGCTGTGGTGGGGACTGAAAAAAAAAAGAATTAAAAAATATATAAATTAAACTGAATAAACATTTTCAATCCTCTCGAAAAAGACCAGAAAAGGTGACTGGACTGTCTAGTGATGGTGGAAGTGATTTGGTCACTTATATTTAACAGTTTAAAAAAGACCCTAGTTATCCTCTGGAATAGCAGTGTAGACCTCACTCTATCATAAGATATATGAATTGCTGAGTGCGGTGTAAAACTAAACTCACTCACTAAAACTCATAAGATATGAAACGATTGTTTATCATTGTTGTTCAAGCAATCTCAGTGATAAAGCACATTCCAAACCAGACAGGCACATCATTTAACATTTGAAATCTCCCAATGATCATTGATGTATTTTTAAGACATTTAATTCACTTAAATCTACAGTTAACATTGTTCCAAACAGAAAGTACATTAACTTTTTACCTTAATGAGTGAGGTTAATGTAGGTTTGAACATTATATCAGTCATATTATGGCATGTGATTCTATATAACACAACTCCAAGGCATTACTATCTTTGATGAAGTGAGTGAAAGAGTTTAGTTTTACGCAGCACTCAGCAATATTCCAGCAATATGGTGGTGGTCTGAAAATAATCGAGTCTGGACTAGACAATCCAATGATCAACAGCATGAGCATCAATCTATGCAATTGGGATACAATGACATGTCAGCAAATCAGCAAGCCTGACCACCCAATCCCATTAGTCGCCTCTTACTACAAGTTTTGGTTACTGAATATCAATTCTAACCCAGATCTTCATAAGTCTTTGATGAAAGCAATGATACTGACAAAAGTGCAGATATTTTGGACAAATCTAGGATTTAAATCAGCAGTATGAACAAACTGAAATATGAAACAAAACTCACCTGGACAGAAAGATGAAAAGACTTTGTCCCTGAGCTGCCTGAGTTCACTGAAGTCTTGAGCTGTGAATCTGTTTTCATCCAGTGGCTTGCTGGCTATCTGATCCAACTCAGTTGTATCGGCCAAGCCAATTCCTATGGCATAAATGTGGATTCCAGCATTACGAGCTTTCTCAGCCTCAGGGATAAGCCTCCTTGAGTTGATATTGGAAACACCATCAGTGATAATTATGGCAATATTTCTTACACCTGGCCGGTCACCTCTTTCTGGGAGAAACATCTTTGTCCTCATTGTGTTAATTCCACCATAGGTATTAGTGCTTCCATATTCGTAGGGAATATTGTCTATTGCCACATATACATCTCTTTTGGTTGTGTACTCATTGAGATGGAACTGGATGAAGACTTTTGTACTGTAGATAACCACACCAACACGAACATTTCCAGCATCAATGTTGGCCACATACAAGAAGTCTTTCAAGAAGTTTAGCATCAGCTTAAAGTTGGGTTCAGTGACACTGGTGGAAGCATCCAGAATGAATATCAAGTCTAACACAGCATCTGCACAATCTGGAATATGAAAATATTTGTGAAAGGAGAGCATGAAAAGAGTCTTTAGGATGTTTAATAAACATGACATTTTAACAAAAGCCAGTGAATGGGTCTGGTGCTGCCAAACCAATGATATCATATGTCTATCATTTCCAGGATCACAGATCATGGACCACATCTGCACAGATTAATTCTAGTGCCATTGGCAGCTGGGCAATTGATAAGTGTAAGTCCCTGAACTCAATATTGTATCAGAAACCTTTTATGTGTTTACAATGACAAGAGCTGAAGACAACAAATTCTTTGTAACCTTTATGTTGAATAAACTTTGCAGACACACGCACATGTTCTAATTTTTTTCATCTGTTCAATGTTCTTAAAACATTGTGGAGCAAGAGAGATCATGCTTACCATCTAATAATGGTGGAAGTGTTGGCAGAGGTTTCTCTGGTACTGGACAGAATGTGGAGAAGACTTTGTCTCTGAGGACAATCAGTTCACTGAATTCTTGTACGGTGAAGCGATTTTCATCAATAGGTTTGCTTGCAATACCATCAATCTCCCTTGTGTCTGAAATTCCAATGCCAATAGCATAGATGTGGATGCCCTTTCTTCTAGCCTTCTTAGCCTCAGGAAGTGTCTTTCTGGCATTAATATTGGACACGCCATCAGTGATCACAATGGCCACATTTTTCACTTTGGATCGATCTCCTTTAGCACGAGTGAACATCTTGGTCCTCATTGTATGCAATCCTCCAAAAGTGTTTGTACTGCCATATTCATAAGGAATAGCATCAATGGCATTGAAAACATCCGCCTTGGTAGAGTATTCATTCAGGTGGAACTGAACATAAACCTTGGTACTGTAGATGACAACACCAACTCGGACATTACCATCATCAATGTTGGCCACAAAAAGAAAGTTTTTCAAGAAATCCAGCATGAGTTTGAAATTGGGTTCTGTGACACTTGTAGATGCATCCAGAACAAATATTAGATCAAGTTTTGCATCAGCACAGTCTGAAACAGAAACAATCTAATTACTTCTTTTATCAGAACACAAACCCATTTCTTATTAATTGTAACACTCACTCACTCAGCATCACTTATAGGCACTGTTTTACCATTTCTGTTAAAAAGTTAATCTGTATTTCTCACATTTTACATTTACATCAATTCAGTGGTGTTACAGGAGCATCCATTTGGAAACATGTAAATCTTAGAAACAGGTTTCATTTATATACAGCCTCTTTGAGAATGATTTACTTTGATGTTGTTAATTATCTACTCAAGTGAAAGGTTCCATTTCTGTATGCCATTCCAGAAACCTTTTGCACAGAAATGTGCAAATATCATCACATTGGTTGGGGGCACTACAAGCTTAATATGTCATTTTGCACGTCTATATGCACCAATATGTCTATTGCACCAATTCATTGTCATCTTGCTAAAGTGCAAGTGAATGTTCTTACCATCAAGTTTAACTGGCACTGTTGGCAAGGGTGTTGTTGTTGTCGTGGTGGTGATGGTGGTTGGAGCTGCTGTTGAATGAACATGGAAAGTAGATAAGCAACATTCTTATGATCTTTAACTCAAAGTGCAAGATTATGCAGTCTGATACTTAATGTTATCTCCTTTAATAAGAACACATTAATAAGGAAATACAGATTTCATGCTTTAACATATCATTAAAAAAAGGAATAAAAGGATGCCATCAATGTAATGCAACTGATATGAGAGTAAAATACCTAAACAAAAGGAAGAAAACACTTCATCTCGCAGACCAACAAGTTCAGCAAAGTCTTGAACAGCAAATCGATTCTTCTCAATGGGTTTGCTTGCTATGCCATCCAACTCTGTTGTATCAGCCAAACCAATGCCAATGGCATATATATGGATTCCTTGCTGCCTAACCCTTTCCGCTTCAGGAATTGTTCTCCTTGAATTTATGTTTGAAACACCATCAGTGATGACAATGGCAACATTGTCAACATATGGTCGGTCTCCTGTCTCAGGAGTGAACATTTGAGTCCTCATAGCGTTCAGTCCTCCATAGGTATTTGTACTTCCATACTGATAAGGTATTTGGTCTATGGCTAAATAGACCTCCCGCTTGGACGTGTACTGACTCATTTGGAACTGGATGCTAACTTTAGTGCTGTAGATAACCACACCAACACGAACATTGCCATCATCAACGTTGGCAACATACAGAAAGTGTTTGAGGAAATCTTTCATGAGAAGGAAATTCTTCTCTGTGACACTGGTGGAGGTATCCAGAACAAAGACAAGATCCAGTTTAGCATAGGAACAGTCTGAAGAAGAAATGAAAGTGAAAGTTGATGAATTAACAACTTACTGGGTTGGAATAGGTATTAAATGAAGTTAAAGAAGCACATGGACACAGGGTTTTACATAGCTCTTTGAAACTGGGAGACCTCGGGACTCAGGGCATATGTATTCTAAGAGTCCATTTCCAAAATTGGGAGTCCATCAATTTGCATGAAATCAATGATCATGGATGCTTCCCATTTGATAATGATTATGTTATAATATGTGCTACTTTCAATGTCATTAGAATAATGATTGTAAACAGAATGTTTATATGTTAATATGGGATATCATTACAAACTCAGAAAGTTCTTTCCTAGAAAAAAATTATATTGCGTCCAAAAGGACTCACTGGATTTTAATTTAGGGGTACTTCATCAAATTTCTGCGTCCAATACGCAGGAATCAAGCGTCCCGTAAAACTCTGTGGACAGGTATCATTCATTTGATTTAAACATGATGCCGAAAACTTAAATAAACAAACATAGCCAAAATCAAAGCAGTTGTATAAGCATACACTTGTGTATTTCAGTATAAACAATACTGTAGAATAACCTTCTGACTAACCTTGTACTTTTGGTGGTAAGGTACGTGGAACTGGGGTAGTGACAACAGGACAAAATGAGGTGAATACTTTGTCTCGAAGACCTCTGAGCTCCTTGAAATCCTGCACAGTAAACCTATTCTCTTCAATGGGCCTGCTGGCTATTCCATCCAACTCTGTTGTGTCAGCCAAACCAATACCAATCGCATAGATGTGAATGCCTGCACCTCTTCCAGCTTCTGCTTCTGGAACTGTCCTCCTGGCATTGATGTTGGACACACCATCGGTGATCACCACAGCTACATTCTTCACATCAGGGCGATCACCTCTTTGGGGAACATACATCTGGGTTCGCATTGTGTTCAGACCTCCAAAGGTGTTGGTGCTGCCATATTGATATGGTATTCTGTCTATGGCAAGGAACACATCTCTCTTTGTTCTATATTCATTAAGGTGGAACTGAATGTTCACCTTGGTGCTGTAAATGACTACACCAACACGGACATTGCCATCATCAATGTTAGCCACATATAGGAAGTTCTTCAAGAAGTCCAACATGAGTTTGAAGTTTGGCTCTGTGACACTGGTGGAGGAGTCCAGCACAAAGACCAGATCCAGTTTGGTACTTGAACAATCTGATAATAAACCATGAAACATCAATTCAGTAAAATGCACATTAGTTCCAATTATGCCGGCACTAACATCACACTATTCTGATGAGTAGCAAGCAAGTAGTAAGATTATTTACACATGAATGTTCCCATTCATGTTCTTTTCATATCCAATAAGGTGTTGAGGCTTGCCTAATTACATCATACATCCAATTTTGTTTGTAAAAGGAAAAACAATGAAATGTTTCAGATTACAGCTCATGGTCAAAATAGAACAAACTTACCATCCACCTCAGGAGTAGTTGTGGGAATGGTTGTGGTAGTTGTAGTTGTTGTGGTAGTTGTAGTGGTTGTGGGGGCAGCGGTAGTTGTTACTGAAAAGGTATGTGAAAAATTACTTTATTAATTGTTTCACATTATGCAACCTTGTAAGAATGGGTTTCATGGAAGGAACCTGATCAAAATCTCCAAGATTTTGCACACCACATTTAAATTCACTTCTTTATTGAGATTATTTAGTATTATGCATGAAAGATTCAGTTCAACTGAACATTCAACATTAAGTGTAAAAGAAATAAGTGAATACATTTTGTATTGTAGAAGACTGGAAAGAATGAATCAATCAACATTCAACAGTAAGAGAGATTTGATTGAGAGACCAGCAGCATACCTGTACAGAAGGAAGAAAACACTTCATCTCGCAGACCAACAAGTTCAGCAAAGTCTTGAACAGCAAATCGATTCTTCTCAATGGGTCTGCTTGCTATGCCATCCAACTCTGTTGTATCAGCCAAACCAATGCCAATGGCATATATATGGATTCCTTGCTGCCTAACCCTTTCTGCTTCAGGAATTGTTCTCCTTGAATTTATGTTTGAAACACCATCAGTGATGACAATGGCAACATTGTCAACATATGGTCGGTCTCCTGTCTCAGGAGTGAACATTTGAGTCCTCATAGCATTCAGTCCTCCATAGGTATTTGTACTTCCATACTGATAAGGTATTTGGTCTATGGCTACATAAACCTCCCGCTTGGATGTGTACTGACTCATTTGGAACTGGATGCTAACTTTAGTGCTGTAGATAACCACACCAACACGAACATTGCCATCATCAACGTTGGCAACATACAGAAAGTGTTTGAGGAAATCTTTCATGAGAAGGAAATTCTTCTCTGTGACACTGGTGGAAGTATCCAGAACAAAGACAAGATCCAGTTTAGCATAGGAACAGTCTGAAGAAGAAATGAAAGTGAAAGTTGATGAATTAACAACTTACTGGGTTGGAATAGGTATTAAATGAAGTTAAAGAAGCACATGGACAGGTATCATTCATTTGATTTAAACATGATGCCGAAAACTTAAATATACAAACATAGCCAAAATCAAAGCAGTTGTATAAGCATACACTTGTGTATTTCAGTATAAACAATACTGTAGAATAACCTTCTGACTAACCTTGTACTTTTGGTGGCAAGGTACGTGGAACTGGGGTAGTGACAACGGGACAAAATGAGGTGAATACTTTGTCTCGAAGACCTCTGAGCTCCTTGAAATCCTGCACAGTAAACCTATTCTCTTCAATGGGCCTGCTGGCTATTCCATCCAACTCTGTTGTGTCAGCCAAACCAATACCAATTGCATAGATGTGAATGCCTGCACCTCTTCCAGCTTCTGCTTCTGGAACTGTCCTCCTGGCATTGATGTTGGACACACCATCGGTGATCACCACAGCTACATTCTTCACATCAGGGCGATCACCTCTTTGGGGAACATACATCTGGGTTCGCATTGTGTTCAGACCTCCAAAGGTGTTGGTGCTGCCATATTGATATGGTATTCTGTCTATGGCAAGGAACACATCTCTCTTTGTTCTATATTCATTAAGGTGGAACTGAATGTTCACCTTGGTGCTGTAAATGACTACACCAACACGGACATTGCCATCATCAATGTTAGCCACATATAGGAAGTTCTTCAAGAAGTCCAACATGAGTTTGAAGTTTGGCTCTGTGACACTGGTGGAGGAGTCCAGCACAAAGACCAGATCCAGTTTAGTACTTGAACAATCTGATAATAAACCATGAAACATCAATTCAGTAAAATGCACATTAGTTCCAATTATGCCGGCACTAACATCACACTATTCTGATGAGTATCAAGCAAGTAGTAGGATTATTTACACACGAATGTTCCCATTCATGTTCTTTTTCATATCCAATAAGGTGTTGAGGCTTGCCTAATTACATCACACATCCAATTTTGTTATTAAAAGGAAAAACAATGAATTATTTCAGATTACAGCTCATGGTCATAATAGAAAATAACCAAACTTACCATCCACCTCAGGGGTAGTTGTGGGAATAGTTGTTGTAGTTGTAGTTGTTGTGGTGGTCGTAGTGGTTGTGGGGGCAGCGGTAGTTGTTACTGAAAGCGTATGTGAAAAATGGCTTTGTAATTGTTTCACATTGTGTGACTGTGTAAGAATGGGTTTCATGGAAGAAACCCAAACAAAGTGCAAAAAGTACAACATTTTACACACAACACATTAATTCAGTTCTTCAGTCAAATTAGTTAGCATTTTGTATAAAAGATCCGGTTCAACTGAACAATCATCCGTGAGTTCATAAGAAAAAAAGTGAATATATTTTGCATTGTAGAAACACTGGAAAAAAATGAATCAGTCTATATACAAACAGTAAGAGAGATTTGAGAGACCAGCATACCTGTACAGAAGGAAGAAAACACTTCATCTCGCAGACCAACAAGTTCAGCAAAGTCTTGAACAGCAAATCGATTCTTCTCAATGGGTTTGCTTGCTATGCCATCCAACTCTGTTGTATCAGCCAAACCAATGCCAATGGCATATATATGGATTCCTTGCTGCCTAACCCTTTCCGCTTCAGGAATTGTTCTCCTTGAATTTATGTTTGAAACACCATCAGTGATGACAATGGCAACATTGTCAACATATGGTCGGTCTCCTGTCTCAGGAGTGAACATTTGAGTCCTCATAGCGTTCAGTCCTCCATAGGTATTTGTACTTCCATACTGATAAGGTATTTGGTCTATGGCTAAATAGACCTCCCGCTTGGACGTGTACTGACTCATTTGGAACTGGATGCTAACTTTAGTGCTGTAGATAACCACACCAACACGAACATTGCCATCATCAATGTTGGCAACATACAGAAAGTGTTTGAGGAAATCTTTCATGAGAAGGAAATTCTTCTCTGTGACACTGGTGGAGGTATCCAGAACAAAGACAAGATCCAGTTTAGCATAGGAACAGTCTGAAGAAGAAATGAAAGTGAAAGTTGATGAATTAACAACTTACTGGGTTGGAATAGGTATTAAATGAAGTTAAAGAAGCACATGGACAGGTATCATTCATTTGATTTAAACATGATGCCGAAAACTTAAATATACAAACATAGCCAAAATCAAAGCAGTTGTATAAGCATACACTTGTGTATTTCAGTATAAACAATACTGTAGAATAACCTTCTGACTAACCTTGTACTTTTGGTGGCAAGGTACGTGGAACTGGGGTAGTGACAACGGGACAAAATGAGGTGAATACTTTGTCTCGAAGACCTCTGAGCTCCTTGAAATCCTGCACAGTAAACCTATTCTCTTCAATGGGCCTGCTGGCTATTCCATCCAACTCTGTTGTGTCAGCCAAACCAATACCAATTGCATAGATGTGAATGCCTGCACCTCTTCCAGCTTCTGCTTCTGGAACTGTCCTCCTGGCATTGATGTTGGACACACCATCGGTGATCACCACAGCTACATTCTTCACATCAGGGCGATCACCTCTTTGGGGAACATACATCTGGGTTCGCATTGTGTTCAGACCTCCAAAGGTGTTGGTGCTGCCATATTGATATGGTATTCTGTCTATGGCAAGGAACACATCTCTCTTTGTTCTATATTCATTAAGGTGGAACTGAATGTTCACCTTGGTGCTGTAAATGACTACACCAACACGGACATTGCCATCATCAATGTTAGCCACATATAGGAAGTTCTTCAAGAAGTCCAACATGAGTTTGAAGTTTGGCTCTGTGACACTGGTGGAGGAGTCCAGCACAAAGACCAGATCCAGTTTGGTACTTGAACAATCTGATAATAAACCATGAAACATCAATTCAGTAAAATGCACATTAGTTCCAATTATGCCGGCACTAACATCACACTATTCTGATGAGTATCAAGCAAGTAGTAGGATTATGTACACATGAATGTTCCCATTCATGTTCTTTTTCATATCCAGTAAGGTGTTGAGGCTTGCCTAATTACATCACACATCCAATTTTGTTATTAAAAGGAAAAACAATGAATTATTTCAGATTACAGCTCATGGTCATAATAGAAAATAACCAAACTTACCATCCACCTCAGGGGTAGTTGTGGGAATAGTTGTTGTAGTTGTAGTTGTTGTGGTGGTCGTAGTGGTTGTGGGGGCAGCGGTAGTTGTTACTGAAAGCGTATGTGAAAAATGGCTTTGTAATTGTTTCACATTGTGTGACTGTGTAAGAATGGGTTTCATGGAAGAAACCCAAACAAAGTGCAAAAAGTACAACATTTTACACACAACACATTAATTCAGTTCTTCAGTCAAATTAGTTAGCATTTTGTATAAAAGATCCGGTTCAACTGAACAATCATCCGTGAGTTCATAAGAAAAAAAGTGAATATATTTTGCATTGTAGAAACACTGGAAAAAAATGAATCAGTCTATATACAAACAGTAAGAGAGATTTGAGAGACCAGCATACCTGTACAGAAGGAAGAAAACACTTCATCTCGCAGACCAACAAGTTCAGCAAAGTCTTGAACAGCAAATCGATTCTTCTCAATGGGTTTGCTTGCTATGCCATCCAACTCTGTTGTATCAGCCAAACCAATGCCAATGGCATATATATGGATTCCTTGCTGCCTAACCCTTTCCGCTTCAGGAATTGTTCTCCTTGAATTTATGTTTGAAACACCATCAGTGATGACAATGGCAACATTGTCAACATATGGTCGGTCTCCTGTCTCAGGAGTGAACATTTGAGTCCTCATAGCGTTCAGTCCTCCATAGGTATTTGTACTTCCATACTGATAAGGTATTTGGTCTATGGCTAAATAGACCTCCCGCTTGGACGTGTACTGACTCATTTGGAACTGGATGCTAACTTTAGTGCTGTAGATAACCACACCAACACGAACATTGCCATCATCAATGTTGGCAACATACAGAAAGTGTTTGAGGAAATCTTTCATGAGAAGGAAATTCTTCTCTGTGACACTGGTGGAGGTATCCAGAACAAAGACAAGATCCAGTTTAGCATAGGAACAGTCTGAAGAAGAAATGAAAGTGAAAGTTGATGAATTAACAACTTACTGGGTTGGAATAGGTATTAAATGAAGTTAAAGAAGCACATGGACAGGTATCATTCATTTGATTTAAACATGATGCCGAAAACTTAAATAAACAAACATAGCCAAAATCAAAGCAGTTGTATAAGCATACACTTGTGTATTTCAGTATAAACAATACTGTAGAATAACCTTCTGACTAACCTTGTACTTTTGGTGGCAAGGTACGTGGAACTGGGGTAGTGACAACGGGACAAAATGAGGTGAATACTTTGTCTCTCAAGACCTCTGAGCTCCTTGAAATCCTGCACAGTAAACCTATTCTCTTCAATGGGCCTGCTGGCTATTCCATCCAACTCTGTTGTGTCAGCCAAACCAATACCAATTGCATAGATGTGAATGCCTGCACCTCTTCCAGCTTCTGCTTCTGGAACTGTCCTCCTGGCATTGATGTTGGACACACCATCGGTGATCACCACAGCTACATTCTTCACATCAGGGCGATCACCTCTTTGGGGAACATACATCTGGGTTCGCATTGTGTTCAGACCTCCAAAGGTGTTGGTGCTGCCATATTGATATGGTATTCTGTCTATGGCAAGGAACACATCTCTCTTTGTTCTATATTCATTAAGGTGGAACTGAATGTTCACCTTGGTGCTGTAAATGACTACACCAACACGGACATTGCCATCATCAATGTTAGCCACATACAGGAAGTTCTTCAAGAAGTCCAACATGAGTTTGAAGTTTGGCTCTGTGACACTGGTGGAGGAGTCCAGCACAAAGACCAGATCCAGTTTGGTACTTGAACAATCTGATAATAAACCATGAAACATCAATTCAGTAAAATGCACATTAGTTCCAATTATCACGGCACAAACATCACACTATTCTGATGAGTATCAAGCAAGTAGTAGGATTATTTACACACGAATGTTCCCATTCATGTTCTTTTTCATATCCAATAAGGTGTTGAGGCTTGCCTAATTACATCATACATCCAATTTTGTTATTAAAAGGAAAAACAATGAATTATTTCAGATTACAGCTCATGGTCATAATAGAAAATAACCAAACTTACCATCCACCTCAGGGGTAGTTGTGGGAATAGTTGTTGTAGTTGTAGTTGTTGTGGTAGTTGTAGTGGTTGTGGGGGCAGCGGTAGTTGTTACTGAAAGCGTATGTGAAAAATGGCTTTGTAATTGTTTCACATTGTGTGACTGTGTAAGAATGGGTTTCATGGAAGAAACCCAAACAAAGTGCAAAAAGTACAACATTTTACACACAACACATTAATTCAGTTCTTCATTCAAATTAGTTAGCATTTTGTATAAAGATCCGGTTCAACTGAACAATCATCCGTGAGTTCATAAGAAAAAAAGTGAATATATTTTGCATTGTAGAAACACTGGAAAAAAATGAATCAGTCTATATACAAACAGTAAGAGAGATTTGAGAGACCAGCATACCTGTACAGAAGGAAGAAAACACTTCATCTCGCAGACCAACAAGTTCAGCAAAGTCTTGAACAGCAAATCGATTCTTCTCAATGGGTTTGCTTGCTATGCCATCCAACTCTGTTGTATCAGCCAAACCAATGCCAATGGCATATATATGGATTCCTTGCTGCCTAACCCTTTCCGCTTCAGGAATTGTTCTCCTTGAATTTATGTTTGAAACACCATCAGTGATGACAATGGCAACATTGTCAACATATGGTCGGTCTCCTGTCTCAGGAGTGAACATTTGAGTCCTCATAGCGTTCAGTCCTCCATAGGTATTTGTACTTCCATACTGATAAGGTATTTGGTCTATGGCTAAATAGACCTCCCGCTTGGACGATGTACTGACTCATTTGGAACTGGATGCTAACTTTAGTGCTGTAGATAACCACACCAACACGAACATTGCCATCATCAATGTTGGCAACATACAGAAAGTGTTTGAGGAAATCTTTCATGAGAAGGAAATTCTTCTCTGTGACACTGGTGGAGGTATCCAGAACAAAGACAAGATCCAGTTTAGCATAGGAACAGTCTGAAGAAGAAATGAAAGTGAAAGTTGATGAATTAACAACTTACTGGGTTGGAATAGGTATTAAATGAAGTTAAAGAAGCACATGGACAGGTATCATTCATTTGATTTAAACATGATGCCGAAAACTTAAATATACAAACATAGCCAAAATCAAAGCAGTTGTATAAGCATACACTTGTGTATTTCAGTATAAACAATACTGTAGAATAACCTTCTGACTAACCTTGTACTTTTGGTGGCAAGGTACGTGGAACTGGGGTAGTGACAACGGGACAAAATGAGGTGAATACTTTGTCTCGAAGACCTCTGAGCTCCTTGAAATCCTGCACAGTAAACCTATTCTCTTCAATGGGCCTGCTGGCTATTCCATCCAACTCTGTTGTGTCAGCCAAACCAATACCAATTGCATAGATGTGAATGCCTGCACCTCTTCCAGCTTCTGCTTCTGGAACTGTCCTCCTGGCATTGATGTTGGACACACCATCGGTGATCACCACAGCTACATTCTTCACATCAGGGCGATCACCTCTTTGGGGAACATACATCTGGGTTCGCATTGTGTTCAGACCTCCAAAGGTGTTGGTGCTGCCATATTGATATGGTATTCTGTCTATGGCAAGGAACACATCTCTCTTTGTTCTATATTCATTAAGGTGGAACTGAATGTTCACCTTGGTGCTGTAAATGACTACACCAACACGGACATTGCCATCATCAATGTTAGCCACATACAGGAAGTTCTTCAAGAAGTCCAACATGAGTTTGAAGTTTGGCTCTGTGACACTGGTGGAGGAGTCCAGCACAAAGACCAGATCCAGTTTGGTACTTGAACAATCTGATAATAAACCATGAAACATCAATTCAGTAAAATGCACATTAGTTCCAATTATGCCGGCACTAACATCACACTATTCTGATGAGTAGCAAGCAAGCAGTAGGATTATTTACACATGAATGTTCCCATTCATGTTCTTATTCATATCCAATAAGGTGTTGAGGCTTGCCTAATTACATCATACATCCAATTTTGTTTGTAAAAGGAAAAACAATGAAATGTTTCAGATTACAGCTTATGATCAAAATAGAGCAAACTTACCATCCACCTCAGGAGTAGTTGTGGGAATGGTTGTTGTAGTTGTTGTGGTAGTTGTAGTGGTTGTGGGGGCAACAGTAGTTGTTACTGAAAAGGTATGTGAAATATGACTTTATTAATTGTTTCACATTGTGTGAACCTTGTAAGAATGGGTTTCATGGAAGGAACCTGATCAAAATCTACAAGATTTTGCACACAACACATTAATTCACTTCTTCATTGAGATTATTTAGCATTTTGCATGAAAGATTCAGTTCAACTGAACATTCATCATTAAGTTCATAAAACAAAAAAGTGAATACATTTTGTATTGTAGAAGACTGGAAAAAATGAATCAATCAACATTCAACAGTAAGAGAGATTTGAGAGACCAGCATACCTGTACAGAAGGAAGAAAACACTTCATCTCGCAGACCAACAAGTTCAGCAAAGTCTTGAACAGCAAATCGATTCTTCTCAATGGGTCTGCTTGCTATGCCATCCAACTCTGTTGTATCAATGAAACCAATGCCAATGGCATATATATGGATTCCTTGCTGCCTAACCCTTTCCTGCTTCAGGAATTGTTCTCCTTGAATTTATGTTTGAAACACCATCAGTGATGACAATGGCAACATTGTCAACATATGGTCGGTCTCCTGTCTCAGGAGTGAACATTTGAGTCCTCATAGCATTCAGTCCTCCATAGGTATTTGTACTTCCATACTGATAAGGTATTTGGTCTATGGCTACATAAACCTCCCGCTTGGATGTGTACTGACTCATCTGGAACTGGATGCTAACTTTAGTGCTGTAGATAACCACACCAACACGAACATTGCCATCATCAATGTTGGCAACATACAGAAAGTGTTTGAGGAGGAAATCTTTCATGAGAAGGAAATTCTTCTCTGTGACACTGGTGGAGGTATCCAGAACAAAGACAAGATCCAGTTTAGCATAGGAACAGTCTGAAAAAGAAATGAAAGTGAGTTGATGAATTAACAACTTACTGGGTTGGAATAGGTATTAAATGAAGTTAAAGAAGCACATGGACAGGTATCATTCATTTGATTTAAACATGATGCCGAAAACTTAAATATACAAACATAGCCAAAATCAAAGCAGTTGTTTAAGCATACACTTGTGTATTTCAGTATAAACAATACTGTAGAATAACCTTCTGACTAACCTTGTACTTTTGGTGGTAAGGTACGTGGAACTGGGGTAGTGACAACGGGACAAAATGAGGTGAATACTTTGTCTCGAAGACCTCTGAGCTCCTTGAAATCCTGCACAGTAAACCTATTCTCTTCAATGGGCCTGCTGGCTATTCCATCCAACTCTGTTGTGTCAGCCAAACCAATACCAATTGCATAGATGTGAATGCCTGCACCTCTTCCAGCTTCTGCTTCTGGAACTGTCCTCCTGGCATTGATGTTGGACACACCATCGGTGATCACCACAGCTACATTCTTCACATCAGGGCGATCACCTCTTTGGGGAACATACATTTGGGTCCTCATTGTGTTCAGACCTCCAAAGGTGTTGGTGCTGCCATACTGATATGGTATTCTGTCTATGGCAAGGAACACATCTCTCTTTGTTCTATATTCATTAAGGTGGAACTGAATGTTCACCTTGGTGCTGTAAATGACTACACCAACACGGACATTGCCATCATCAATGTTAGCAACATACAGGAAGTTCTTCAAGAAGTCCAACATGAGTTTGAAGTTTGGCTCTGTGACACTGGTGGAGGAGTCCAGCACAAACACCAGATCCAGTTTGGTACTTGAACAATCTGATAATAAACCATGAAAAAAGTACTTGAAAGGTGTTTGCATTACATGTAAAAGCTGAATACCTCCCAAGCTATGAATGCTAATGTTATACTTTTGTTATGACCCTATTTACGATCCTGTTTCAACTTGATAAAGGGTGGTTGGGTAGCCTCGTGGTTAAAACATTTGCTCATCACACTGTAAACTTTGGTTCAATTTTGGGTACCATTTCTGGTGTCCTCTGCATGATATTATTGGAATATTGATAAAAGTGGTAAAAGTGGTAAAAGAGTAAAACCTTACTCACTCACCCAACTTGACACTTGTATAAAAGAAAAAGTTAAAATGATATTTGAGGACAAGTTGCAGGAATGACAACTTATATTTTCCCGTCAAGATAATGTATCTGCAAGAAAGAATAATGGCCTTGTATATCCAAAGTTGACAACCCGTGAAGATCCGGGTTAGAATTGATCTTCAGTAACCCATGCTTGTCGTAAGAGGCGACTAACGGGTTCGGGTGGTCAGGCTAGTTGACTTTGTTGACACATGTCATTGGTTCCCAATTGCGCAGATCAGTGCTTATGCTGTTGATCACTGGATAGTCTGGTCCAGACGATTATTTATAGACCGCCGTCATATACGTGGAATATTGCTGGGTGCGGCGTAAAACTAAACTCACTCACTCCAAAGTTAACACTGACATGATTTGCACATGCCATGTAACAAGTAAGCTCTGATTAATCGTTCTAAAATGAAAAGCAGGAAAATAGTATCACACTCACCATCACCCTTTGGTTGGGTGGGGACTGGTACAGAGGGTCTTTCAACTGAAACACATTCAGCAGAAGACTTCAAACCAAGCATAACCTGTACAATGCAGACATGAGATAAAGAAATTTAAAACGAAACTTAGCTTATTCTGACTAAAAAATAACACACACAAATTTACACTGGTGACTGTATTATAGTTTGAGAACAGTGCATTATTATGTTACAATGTACATTACCTAACAGAACAATGACTCATTGATGGCAAAAATGGAACTATGTTTGAAGCATGAAATTCTTGAAGTGGAAAACGCATGAAACTTGTCACTTATATTTAGGAAACAGCATAAAAGAGTTACATGTGAAACAAAAATAATATATTCATGTCAATAGAAATACTAGTATCATAATACAGATATCAAACATCTACCCTCCACAAAACATATCATCACGTCTCTGGTACTTCATAAACAAAACATACATCGGTCATTATCAGATGATAACAGATATTTAGAATTGGAGTGCACTGGAAACTTCAGTCAACAAACTAACATCTATCCAATATGTTGGAACCAATTTATACCAAACATGTTATGCTTCTTTACAAAATCAATAATTTGTTCAAACCAGATTTTCATCATGGATACAAAGATGTATTCTCTATCAAATACAAATCTAGTAACTTCATAAATTGAACAATTGGCCAAATTCTTTCCATGATTTACATTCTATGTTGACATTTACACAATGAGAGGTGAAGAATTAAACTGTTCATGGAAGTATCTTTCTTTTCTAGTTAACCTTATTTGAACCCCATAAGCACAATTTTCTGAAACACCAGAGACATCATGACAAACATCTCATCTGATGACAAAGAAACAGATCATAAACGTGATTCACATGTCAAAATATATCACTGTTGATTTTACTCCAGTGACTTGTGGATATTATGTGCTTACTGCAGGTAAAACAAACAGCACTATCCAGTGCTAAATACAAAATGTTATGCAAAATATTACTCAGTCAACCCTCAGCAAGAGATTCCTTTCGCTGTAAAGGGAATAATAGCTGTGAAAATCAGTGGTAACACCAGGTGCCTGAAAGGGCTGTAAGGGCAAGCCTACTGGAATTCTCTTAGCAAGTAGTCAGTGCCTTATTCATTTGTTACAATTTTCCCATGTGTCATAACCTGTAAATGTGCAGGAAAACCCCTTCAGACATTTAAAAGTAGTTGCCAAGAAATCATCAACACAGAGCACCACAGTTCATTACTAGATTGTGGGCATTTCATGTAAACTGTACAATTGCTGCATTGAATTTTCACACACTCATTAAATCTGGGTTGTTTGTTATGGAAACATGTTTAAGCCCTTCACTCAACCACAGTCCTCAATTTTGTATGTCAGAAAGATTTTATTATGATCAGTATTTCTGATATGATATAAAACAGGCAGCTGTGATGTATTTTGCATGTGAAACTGTTTGACATCCACATTGAGAAAATCTTTCTCTAAACAATAACATGTTGAAGACACAGGTATATATACATATAGTTTTATAAACACTGTATTTAATGACATGAATATGGACATTGATGTATATATTTGATATTATTAAGGCCATTCCCAGCATGCAACATTTATTAGACATGTGAACCTACACCAGCTGTGACATGGAAACACAATCAGCAGTACCCGCAACCAGTGCTGAGACAAGGGTTAAACATTAAAACGACTCCGCTGCAGCAATAGTTTAAGTCAACGACGTTAGCAAGCAGACATCAAATATCCCATAATGATCTGGGTGGTGATGATCCTGCCCGACAAGTGGGCGGAGGAACAGACGATGTGTTAGGTGACATGGTGACGAGGACACCTATTGGCGTAGCTCCTACCTGGACATACAGATGTGAACACCTTATCCTTTAGGGTCTGTAGTTCCTTGAAATCCTTGACTATGAATCGGTTCTGTTCAATGGGATGAGATGCCATACCGTCTAGTTCTCTGGTTTCTGCTAAACCTATGCCAATAACATAGATCTTGATGCCAGCCTTACGGGACTCTTCAGCTTCAGGGATAGTCTGGCGGGCATTAATGTTAGATACGCCATCTGTTAGGACTATCGCAACATTTGGGACATCAGGCCGGTCTCCATTTTGAGCTGTGAACATCTCCTCCCGCATTGCTCTCAAACCTCCAGCAGTGTTAGTGCTGCCATACACATACGGGATGTTGTCTATGGCTGTCATCAATTCAGACTTGGTGGAGTAGGCATTCATGTGAAACTCTACCTGAACTTTAGTGCTGTAGAGGACTACACCAACTCGGACATTACCATTGTCAACATCAGCATAATTAAGGAAATCCTTCAGGAAATCCAACACCAGCTTGAAATTGGGTTCTGTTACACTTGTAGAAGAGTCAAGAACAAAAACCAGATCCAGTTTGGCATTCAAGCAGTCTGCAAGAAATGAGTGATGAGGATGAATTAGGTGGACACTAAGATAAAGTCTACACTGAAACCTACCTTCTGCAGTGACTTTACAGTGCAGCCTTCAGAGTGGCCATCAGGACCAGAGGCATCAACTTCTCCAGGTTCTTCCTCTTCTGCATCCTCCATCATGTCCATGAGGTTAAATTACTACTCTAATATTTCACACACATTGCAATAGCAACTCAAGATTGGTAACAAAGAAATCCATTAAAGTCAACATACTTGTGCTGAAAGTTTTGGATCAGATTATTGTTACAGAGTTATAATATATCAGAATATGATTAAATTTCTCCAAATGTTTTTGGAAAGAAAAAGCGATTTTGCATTTAAACTTGAGTCAAGAGACCTTTTCACCTGAATCAAACCAAAACTTTCAGCTTCATAAACCAGCATAGCAATGTTACTGCTTGCCACCCCTGAGTGCTCCTGGACTGTAATACTTTTAGGTAGCACTTTCTTATATGTCTATGATTTACTGTATGTTCAGCTCAGTGAAAAAAGCAAAAACATTGCTAATGCTGGTTTCAAATGTGATCAATTTGACTGCTCTACAATTACATTCCATGTCTAGCGATCTTGAGGGGCTGCATCCATGATTGCTAAAGTCACTGAAAGAAAATTCTCTCCAGTGGTACTTTCAACATGGTCAGGTTATAAGCACTGTTATGCACAATAATCAATTTTTCCCAAAGCAAATTTAAGCACGACATTAAAACTGCATGTCATATTTTAGACAGCTATTAAATATATGTAAGTAGATGATAAATTTCAGTCACAGCCCTCTTTGGTTGCCATTTTATAGAAACCTTTAAAACCTGGCATGGCAGCATGAATGTACCAGAGGTTAGGAAAGATTTGCAGATGAATCCCTGTAGTGCTGTTTATCCCAATCTGGGCTGGATGCAGCACACAGGTATGCAGTGGTTAGTTCCAAAAGCTTCATGAAACAGGACAGACTGTTAGCCCTAATGGGACATTATGTGTAGCTAGGGATGTTTTGTTCAACCTTGTGACCAGGAATAGAGAACTACCATGACGGTAGTCCACTATCTTAATGGTCACATTACTTACTATCCGTCGTCTTGCCTCCGGCTCGGACTGAAAAGAAAGGAAAACAATGAAAGGATTTGATATTCAGTGAGACATAGGTATTAGAATGAAAGAGTTTACACATTAAACAGAAAGAACTATTACAATGATATTTTAAGAAAATAACATTTCTTCACTTTAGAGGTCACTCACAGGCCTGAATTGATCTCTGGACAGAGTCCCCATTCCTTTCAAGTTCTGCGTAGTCTGACACTGTGTAGATGTTGTTAGTATCTACTGCTGCCATCTCCAGCTGCGACTTGTCTGAAAGGCCTACTCCCACAGTGTACACCCCGATGCATGCTGCCTTCATCTGATCTGCCTCTGCACTGATGGCAGCACGAGGCTGATTGGCTGTAGAGTCGGTCACAAGGATAACGCCGTTGGGTACACCATCACGATCACCATTATCGGCTGTGAACATCCGTTCTCGGATAGTTTTCAGCATCCTTGGCAGGTTGAAACTACGGGTCCGGGCTACTCTCTTAGCAAGTTGGTCGATGGCGTCTGTGATGTCCATAGTGGAGGAATATCTAGAGGATTGAAAAATATGTAACTCTTCAGATATAGATAGAATCACCTAATCACATTAAGCCCCAAATCATAATTTTCCTTGTGTGACAGAAACCAAGAAAAACATCCAAGGGCATGACTCTTGGACATGCCTATCACACCAAAAACTGACTACTTAATAATATGTTAAATACAAACCAGCTGCTTGTAAACTTTTGGAAGTTGGGGATAATGGAATGTAGGCTTTAATGAATTACCAGTTCAAATTAAGCAAATCGATACATATATCATGAATCAGGTAAATCCAAATGTATATATTAATATGTGAAATAGGTATATTTGGACACACCAAGATCCGAAGTCATCTTCTTTTTACAAGGATCCCTGGAATCAATTCAAAGATGGTTCAGCATGAAGCAGAAACATTCTCTGATACCACAGGGTAATACAAGGAAGTACGCACCTGTTGAGTTGGAATGGGATATAACCACCATCAACAAAGAAGCCGAGGCGGACCTTGCCAGAATCTACATCTGCTGACTGGACCAGAGATGACACGTATGACTTCAATTTGTTAAAATTCTGCCGGGATCCCTTTGGATTAAAGTAGATAGCAAAGATGATGTCTGCCTCAGGGCTAGCTGTAAGAATGAAGGATACAAAAGTGAGAAAATGGTTTGGACCAAGGGTTCTGTTGTGTATTTTTGGCAAAGTGCACATGGAAATAACTTCTGGAACCTGACTCAGCTAAAAGGCTGACATGAAGGCATCTGTAATTTGTTTGTCAGACCATCTTAATAAAGGGACAGTGCACACGTTATTAAAAGTCTGCATCAATGTCTTCAAACATCAATATCTTTGACAGAAAGATGAAATGGTGAAGTTCATATTTCACTCGTACAAATAACGAGTTTTAATACCATACACACCTTATAATGTTTTCTTATGGACAAAGCCTTCCATCAATTATGCAACAAATGTTTACCAATATTGATTGTACTTCATGTAAGACTTAATACTGAGTAATCTGCCTATACTTCTCGTATATGCAATGCAAAGTAGTAGTTAAAGGTACATCAAGATCAATAAGTTACCTTGGTTTTCATATGTACAGTTAGGCAAAATAACAAAGATTCTGAAATACCCATCTTTGAAAAAATACTCTAATATACAGCAACAGCTAGCCATAGGTATAAAGAGTTTAGAGTCGTTACATCATACCATTGTAGCACTGCACTAATGTATCTACATGTTCAGATATTGGTAAGGGTATTGTTTTTTACTTACTGGCCACAGATGCGCCACAAGCAGTTCCTGAAAAGAACCAGGAGGCATTGTGAAAACAGTGACATAATCATTTATCCAAATATTATTAGATTTTGATGATTATCAACATTATAAAGATCTTTTTGGTAACACCTAAAACGTCTTAAACAATAAATATGATAAAAGAGTGTGTTTTAGGTACTGGGTGTTAATAACAAATAGTGAAGAAGATAATGTTAGATAAAAATATATGTTAATTTTCACATGTCCACAAAAGAGTCATCCTAAAATCTAAAGAATGAAACAGTTACATTTTCTTTGTTAGCTGTAGAAAAGAAGAAACAAAGATTACCACAACAACAGAAAAAATTTACAATTTAGTACAAAGGCTTACCTGTCAAATCAATCAGTTCTATTGAAATAATTCTTTTGGAAACATGCAAGGACTATTCTATTTGATTCCTGTGTATACTTTACTATAATATATCTATTGAGGTATTCAGCTGCATATAATTGTCATGCTTTGCTTATCTATTGATCTACATATAGAAAAAATACAAAAGATACACGCGACAACACTTCACAACATACAAACAAATATTTCAACGTTTCACAAGCAAACAGGTAGACACACATCAATAGTTAACATCACAAGGACAAATAAAGTTCACTGAAAACAATATACTAACCTTCATTAAAAGAAGTTGGAGAAGAGTTAGTAGAAATGATATTCAAAACAGGGAAATGATCAATTTACAAACAATTATCAAACATGTGAAAGCATCATTCACAATAAATAAACAATGTGCTTACATACAGTGTAACACGTGAACAGTCAGGGAAATACACAAGCATCCAGTAAGAGACAACACAGAACATTGACGTCCGACACAGATGTCAAATCCAGCGTAGATGTTGAAATGTGCCATGTGATATCAGTGCAACTGCCTTGAATTGGCCTGGAAAAGAGCTAGAGACGACATGTAGTGACGAGATTACATCAAACCAAAGATGTCACTCCCTTGTCATGCAACGTGATCCATGACACAAATGAAGACAAACTTAGTTCATATCATGCAGAAACAGAACTGGTGCTTCTTCTTCAATATTTTCAAATTTCATGCACTGGCTTGCATCTTGAAATTCCACTGTGAATAGGATATGATGTTGAATACATAGGTACAACCGGTAATTCATGCAGCTGATAAAAATCCTCCTGTCGGTGCCTGATCCGAGTTTGACTCATGCAGATTTGGGTATATAGGTACACTCAGTCACTGAACTACTGTCTATATTGTAGTCCAAATAATGAATGCAAAAACTGGTTAACTTTTTCAAATGCATCATGCATCCATGTTGTTGTAGTAACTCAACTAGGACACTTCAAAGGTGGCATGCGCATTGCAGCACAATCTCCTATAATGAGTATGATGATGGAATTAGAAGTGCCTGATGACTAGATAATTTCATGCCAGTCTTCCGTCTACCTACATCACTCAACACTCCAGGTTGATATTCAAAGTCAGCTGCTTCTTTTGTAGATGTGTACTAAACCTGGAGATCTGAATCATGAACCATGCAGCATCCAGCTTTAAGTGTATTCTTGCTGCTACATCAGACGACTGGCAGATTATGTGATACATGAACATGTGAACAACCACTTTCAGTGCGTCGATCTATCTAAGTCGTGGTGAGTGAGATGAACTTCATGCATCATTCTGTCAAACTGAACTCTTCATTCTAGTGCTGCCAACAGCTCAACTATGTGATCCTGCTTCTAGGTGAGTCACTGTACTTCTCAACTCAGTGAGTGCTTCAAACCCATGCACATTGTTGCAACGGTCATTCTGCTACGTCTCGCCATCATGTGATGCATGTGATCACAGGTTTGCTCATGATGCAGATCAGGCACGATAACTCTCCCTGCTTGCTAGTCACTATGACTGACCTGGTTGAGGTGTTACCCTTCCTGCTGGTTTTGTTGTCTGAGGTCTCCTTGTTGGAGGTTTACGTGGACTTGAACTCACTGGAGTAAATGTGTATGGATCAGTTTCATTCACTTCCATGACAATATTAAACAGATTTGGAAAGAAAAATAAATAGGTAGTAATATGGAAGTGAGTTTTCCTTAAAAGTATTGATGTTTTGATGTTATTACGTACAGCCCACAAAATGAAAGTGAAATATTCATCCAGTAATTTCAACTGAGGTTATGCCACAGTGAGCAGTATGATTGAGCCAATTTATCCTTTCTTCACTTACAGGCATTCACGACGGCACCAACAGCATTCTTGACAGCATTGTCAAGGTTGGCATACTTCGGAACATACGTAGAATAGGACGCAGCTGGCTGACTTGCTACAGTCCCCAGTTCCCGTTGGTTTGCTTTACCGATACCAATAGTGAATATCTGTGTTCCAGCTGCCTTCAGTTTTTTGGCTTCAGCGATGAAACCTGCAGGTCTTATATTGGATCTTGTGTCTGTTATGAGGATGACAGCATTTGGAACACCTGGACGGTCACCCTTAGCTGCAGTGAAAACCTGTGTTCGAACAGTGCTCAGAGCTTTTCCGCCATCAACTTTTGTTATTCGCTGCCTTGGGTGGACTGCTGAACTGATTGCTTTAATCACGTTTGATTTTGAGTTATGCTGGTTGAGATTAAACATTGTGGAGACCTTCCTTCCATAGTTCACAAGTGCCACTCGGACAGCTCCTCCATCTATATCAGCATTGCTCAGTAAGTTCCTGAGAAATCTATGGAGAAAGCTTCTGATATCCTTTGGTTTGGTAGTTTTGCCAAACTGGTAGACAATAGCAACATCTGCTTCTCCACTATCTGAAATATGGCAACATTTTGAAAATGATATGCTGACAAGATAAACCTTAAGTGCCTATCACCATAGGGAACTCATATGGTAAGAAGGCCATGAAGGAGTTGATTTAATTGGGGACTAGGATGTCTCAAGAAAACACAATGGATGAAGAATGTGTCCAATAGAATGACTGAAGACACAAAGTAGAAGGACACTATTGTTCAGTAGAAAAAATGTTGAACTTGATCAAACTTATGAACAAATTCATAGAAAGGAGATTGATACAGTCTTGACGTCTGCTGATGGTTGATATATACATTTTGGCTTATCATAACAATTGCCACAGCAGTGAAACTGTGTAAGGCAAGAATCACCAAAGAAGGCAAAGAATTTGTAGAATTTTGTTATGTGGCATTGCACTTCTGTCAGTATCCTAGTGCCATGAAGATCAGGATGAGGTAGAGGATGGGATGATGATGAATGGACAGATTAAGGTCCAATCCAGTGATGGTGGGGATAATGAATGGCAATGGCATACAGCAAAAGATAAGAGGCCTTGGTCAACATATATTCTTACAAATGGTCAGTTGGGAGAAATGGCAAGGATGACATGGAAGAATCAGAATATCAGGCTTGAGGCTGTTGGACAGATATATTTTGCTGGAAATTGGGATCTCCAGAAGGAAAGTAGGATGGGTCCTGGGATGAGGGTAAGATTGCAGGTCAGAATGGGGAACTGGAATGTAAAAAAGAATATCTGAATGGGTATGGATGACGTTAGGAGCTGACAGGTGTAAAGAAATGGGGATGTAAGGGCTTGGGTTGTGGAAATTGCATTTGGGAAAGGGATAAGCCATGTGGAACGGACATAAAAGGATTGGAGAAAGATGAATTGAGAAGCAACAAGTTTTGAGTTGACATTTTAGGAATATGGGTCAGATTAAGGCGGTGGGACTGGTTCCTGGATGTAAATGAGCTCAAGGAGTGAGTGAATGCCGACATGAGATTAGGAACATTGGGAGAGAACGCATTGTCTTAATAAGACAAGTACTCACTTGCGAGTGTTAAAGGCTCATCGGCACCTGGAATGTCCTCTGAAAATAGGTAGCACATACGCATGACACATGTACAATGTCCTCATCAAGCTACCATTAGAGATATATCACATGAAGATTTCACCAAAGATCTGTCATATGTGGGAGTTTGCCATCTTCCCTGTGCTCAAACTCATACTGTGGGAACTGTCAAATGTGTTCATAGTTCATACCACTAATTATAAATACAATAACCACATGCTGTACACATGCAATACATTTAAGAAAACGCATATATTTCCCAAATGTAAAGTCAAATTGTCACCTGCAATAAAAAAAGACAAAAACACACATGTAACATCACATTATTGTTATACATTACACAGTTACATGTTAAAGCGTAGAGAAAACACATCCATCAGAAGAAAAGTCAAGAAATTCACACAAAGTGTTCAGTCAAATATCACAACAATAAATGTGCATGCAAAAAGCATTTGTGGTTAGTATACAGTGTATGATAATAGTAAAATATTTGAAATATTGAAGAAACAGTCATATTTGCCTACAACATATATCACAGAACAATACCTATAATATCTTCGGCATAAACCATTTTGCTTATTGATGCAACCCTTGTTTCTCATGAATTGCATTGATCAGCAGCCTCTTACAGCAAGTCATTGGTAGAAACTATAATTCATTTAAGCCACCATTCTCCTTAAGGAATTATGAGAAAGCCATAACAACTCCTGCAGGTAATTCTATGGATATCAGTATCACAGAGCATTTTGGATCTTGTTAAAACACTGTGACTGGAAGCAGTTTACTAGGCTGTAAGTTCCCAAGTTACTTTAACCATTAAAAACTATGGCTTATGCCTGAGATATAACAGTTTTAACAGACCTATTAAATAGATATAGAGTTTATGTAAGAAATAATACATAGCTTTTTCTTAAAAGTATATCTGCAAATGTATTCCAAATGGTATGTCAGGTTATATGTAAATTGTTTTATTATTCAGTTATCCTATGGAGATAATATTCTTAGAATGGTAACTTTAGTGTTACAGAATCACATCTATCACAGAAATACCTCTACAGAGAGTTGATACAAGATATATATAATACATAACTATTTTCCATAAAATATTATTAGAGAATCTGCAAATCTGTTCATAACGAAATCTAAGGTTATATGGTAATATTCAATTATCCTATGGAGATTCTTGGAATGGTAACTTTAGTGTTACAGAAACACATCTACCACAGAAATACCTCTCTTTATCACATATAATACTGCAAATATGTTTAATCTTCTTACATCATGCATAGCTGAAGTCATACATGAGCATGAGTATTGTCTGTCAGAATACGAAGCTTGGGTAGGAACATTTCCATACGGGAAAGCTACTACAAGCTGGGAAATAACATCCACAAAGGTCATGACAAACGCTTACTCATGTTTACCTGTTTGGTATTTGATCCATTAATGTTAACTCTATATCATTCCTAATCACATGTATTGGTTGATCATTTGTTCCATTGTTTTAAGTTGATATATTACTTTTTCTTTCTTAAAATTGAAAAACAATCTAGATAATATTCAGTACCGGTATATTTGAACAAGCATTTTGTTTACCTGGATTTGATGTCACACCAGGTGGTCCATCTCTCACTGAAGAAAAGGAAAGATTGCAAATATGAAAAAGGGAAATTTGAGAGAATTTTGTTGATATATTTCATAATCAACTGTAAGAAGCAAAAGAGTTAGTCATGATTCTCAGTACCTTAAATGAAAGCTTGAGTAACTGTTATCAAAGAATTCTAAATGTTTCAAGGTATTTTCATGACACTGATACTCTGATCGTCTGTGATAAGTGCATATGAGTAACCAAGAATTGTATAACTATGAAAGCCATTAAGGAAATACTTGTTAATAAATTAATCACTGTATACACTTATGGTTTTACTGCTTAAAATGACCCTATCAGAATAATACCAGTATTACATGGGCAATTGAACTATTGCAGGAATATTTCAATAACTTGGTAGATGGTTTTAAAATAACTGAAATGTGACCACCATCATTGTGTGATCTTAATAATGCCCACCCACTTAGTGCTTAGTAAATGTCAAGTAGAACTTTTCGGGAATCAATCAAAATTGACTTAACTGATGATAACAAATGAAAAGGTGAGAACTAGTTTAGCATCACATAACATGTGAGAAGATAGAACTTGGCCAGGTATGATGACAATATTATGAGCATATGTCTAATGCATGATACAAACCAGAGTGACTGGTGAATGAATCCTTCAGAAACAATTTGTTCCAAGGAATGAGTATACACCCAGGTGTGTAATCCTGTGTGTAGAGCTCAGGTCACAAATCGGTTGAAGTTATCAACACTGGGCGTGGAGAGTCCTTTGATGGGTGACCGTGTTTGACTCCTGAGTGTTTCTAGGACATCAGTCCTGCCCCACAACAAAGCACATGTTATACATGTGGTTGCACCTAAGGCAACTGAGTTTGTTCAAAATTGCCTCTGTGCACCGAGCAGAAAATGGGTACCCGATGCGATGAGTCATGTGACTATAACCTTCTAGTTCCTAACAGGCAGCTTGGGTTACTCGGGGGAATAATGTGTAAGCGCCATCATAGAGCGTGTTTACGAGCATGGAAATGTGTGCATTATAAATATGCATTATTATTATTATTATCATTATTACTAACAAGACACACTTACATGGCTGAATTTGTTCCACAAAGTCATCCCTAGCTGAAGACAGCTCCCCAAAGTTGTCCAGTTCATAGAAGTTGACTCCTGTAGCAATTGCCTCTAGTTCATCAGGAAACTCAAGATTGACACCAATGGCATAAACAAGGGCACCACTGTTCTGTAGATCCTGTGCTGCCTGGATGGTGTTGGCGACATCGATGTTGGAGTTGGAGTCAGTGACAACAATCACCATGTTTGGCACCTGAGGTCGATCACCTGCCCTT